AATTTTGTCTTCACTTGAGCCTCCGAGGGGAATGGCTAACCCACCCAGTCCTTGGCTTGGGGCAGGTATATGAACCCTCTAAATCAGGGGTCTCCAACCTTGGCAACTTTAAGCCTGGAGGACTTCAACTCCCAGAATTCCCCAGCCAGCTTTGTTGGTTGGGGAATTCTGGGAGTTGAAGTCCTCCAGGTTTAAAGTTGCCAAGGTTGGAGACCCTTGATCTAAAGCAACCAGATAATTAGCAGAAGGTGGAGGGCAAGGAATCCAGCTGGTGCCTGGGAATCTGAGGGGGGCTGAGATTTGGTAAGGGGATGAAGTGGAAAGGACGAATTGGGAACATGATTTCGCTTGGAACGCATCTGTTATCCTTGCTACTGTTCTGATGCAAAGAAGCTTGGAGCCCTGTGACCTGATGGGCTGTATCTCCGCAGGAGAACTCCCCTTCTGAGCTGAGGTCCAATGAAGAGAATTTTGGCAAAGAGCTGCAGAAGGAATGTGTGACTGTTTTAGAGGGATAAAGAGGGAGAGAGAAAAATATTGACTTTTATGGGCTACTGGATGCTTCTGGGAGAGGCAAGTGGTACCAAATCAAGCCAGTGTTGACTGTGGAGCTTGGATGAAGAGCACAGCGGATGTGTCCATGCTTCTTGCACAAGCGCAGTTTCTTATGTTGCATTCAGAGAATTCCGGAAATGTTCTCATTGTATTCTGTTCAGTATCTATTTTTTTTCTAACATTGAGCTTCTTGGACAGCTTTGATCAAGCTGTTTAGGGACTGAAGAAACTGATATTGATATTGACTGTTTCCTAATATGATTTGATTGCTTATTTGTGCCCTATGATTATCATTAAGTGTTGGACCTTATGATTCTTGACGTATGTATCTTTTCTTTTATCTACACCGAGAGCATATGCACCAAGACAATTCCTTGTGTGTCCAATCACACTTGGCCAATAAAGAATTCTGTTCTATTCTATTCTATTCTATTCTATTCTATTCTATTCTATTCTATTTCTATTCTATTCTATTCTATTCTATTCTATTCTATTCTATTCTATTCAAATACTGCCTCCTTTTAAAAGTTCCTTTAAAAAGAAATAAATAGATGAATGAATGGATAAATGTATTTGTGACACTTAAAAAATCAATAAGTAGGGCTAGGGAGACCTTAAATCATGGAAAGGAAGGAAAGCATTGATGACCAGGCCAAAGTTTGCCCAACCAGTGGTGAGGTGAAAGCTTCTTTCTTTGTTTTTGGAACAAATTGCTTCCTGGGTTAATCCAAGGGTCAGCTCCTCTCCGTTTCTCATCCAGTGCTCAAAATGGCGCTGGGTGGAAGCAGGAAATAGCTGGAGTCCAGGCAGCTGCAATTGACCAATTGGCTTCCTTTTAAACCTTTTGCAATCCCAGCCTGGACCTCGGCTGCTTTTGCAACCTTCCACATATGGAGCATTATATGTGGGAGGGATTTTGCTCCATAGAAGTGAGCCGTTTCTCTTGGCGTAACTGAATTTTTTTTTAAAACAATGAAATTTCTGATTTAATACAGCAGTGAGATATTTTTGCTTTTTGCTTTACTTAAAATAGCACTTAGCATTTCACAGTTGGGTTATTGATTCTATGTTTTGCTTCAGAAATGGAGATTTGTATAAAATAAGTATATCAGTTTTTCTTTATAAATGAGACATGAAATATTTTAGTCTCCAGACATCCTCGTTTTAACTTGCTGTTGCCATGGCCACTCATTAGTATTCCATGGAGACCTGGTTGCCATGGAAAAATGTGTAGTTGTACAAGGTTTCCATAGTTACCCTCCATCGTTATGAACCTTTTGATATATCAGCTAGCAGATCTGTTTGGGTAAGCCTGAAATATTACAGTAGTATTTAAAGCCTGGGCAATTAAGGTGGGGTGTTCAATCTACAGCTCGGGTATTTATCTTTAGACTCCAATGGAAAATGTTTGGGGGTCAGAAACAGCCATGCTAAAAATAAGGCTCTCAGAAACGGCTTCGCAGTTGGGAATTCAGCCCACATTTACATTTTGTGCGGGTTTTAAATAACAGGTTTGAAAGAAGGTGTTTCCGCATCTTTTCTGAACACGGATTCGCATTCGAGGTCCTTGAGCATCCCCACGGCAGCTGCTGGCTGTCAGTCTTGGTTGGTGCGACCCTTCCCATGCCAGAGGGGCCTTGGGAGGATCAGGAGTGGGGAGGGCAGGGGATGAGGGAGGCCCATGGCAGAGATGGGTTTCAGCAGGCTCCGACCAGTTCTGGAGAACCGGTAGCGGAAATTTTGAGTAGTTCAGAGAACCGGTAGTAAAAATTCTGATTGGCCCCACCCACATCTATTCTCTGCCTCCCAAGTCCCAGTTGATCGGGAGGAAATGGGGATTTTGCAGTAACCTTCCCCTGGATTGGGGAGGGAATGGAGATTTCACAGTATCCTTCCCCTGCCACACCCACCAAGCCATGCCCACCAAGCCACACCCACAGAACCAGTAGTAAAAAATTTTGAAACCCACCACTGGCCTACGGGTAACCCTACTGGGATAATATTCTCCAGGAACTTTTCAAAGCAAAAATCCTATAGGTTTAGGGGCAGTGAAAGGGTGGAAAACACACATTCAAGAAGGCTTGAATTTTCTCCTCTTTATCCTGGAATCCTAGTTAATCTCCGGAAGACGTTGTTGCTCGGAGCAATTCAGTTGTCGTGGCCTGTGGGGGTCTGTCTCTGAAACTCTGGGGAGGCAGTGGTTCCTCTGGTGATAATCACCCTCCAGGCTGCAGTTAGTTAGGAAAAGGTTTTTTAGGATGGAGATGGAAAAAATTCTGGAAACATTTCAAACCTTCACAGCAGTTGTGAATGAGGCAATCGTGGCTGTAGGATAAGAAGAATGAAACTAAAACAAAACGCTGAATGAATGAATCTAAGTTGGGTTTTCTTTGTTACGCAGCAAGCTATCTCTGAGTGCCCAAAGCTGGCCACATGGTCATTCAATCTGGCTAGCTGGAGGGAGTTTCAATGGGCTCACTCTGGACCTGGTCCAGAAAGAGGTTCAGATTTAACTCTATGTGGGTTTAATATTTGGAAGGGACCTTTGGTGTCTCTGGTTATTCAGGGCTGTTTTTTCCTGCTTCTCTGGATGCTGACACCATCCAGAGAAGGAGGAGATGGTGGAGATGTGTTCACTTTGTTTTCTTCTTTTGATTGAAGTCAGGGAGCCTGGCCACCACTTCTTTACCCTCCTACCATCGGGAAGGAAATATAGAAACATAGCCAGCCGCACAAACAGGCTGAAGAACAGTTTTTATCGGTGGGCTGTCAGACTCCTGAATGAGAAATAACATCGTAACTACATAGAATGATGGACTGCAGGGCCGGTGCAATGTGTAACTTGTTCACACTGGTGCAATAGGACTGGGGTTTTTATTAATATGATTTATTGGGTTGGGGCTTTTCTGTCTTCACTGTGAGTTGTATTGTGTTGGGGGGGTGCACTGAGTGAGCTCAACCAATCTCATTGTACATAGCGTATTTTTCGGTATAAGATGCACTGGTATAAAACGCACCTTAGTTTTTGGGGAAGAAAATAAGAAAAAAACTGATTGGCAGGTGAATCAGCCTCCCGGAATACCCCCAATCAGCTGTTCCCAGAGGTGAATTTTAGCAACAGGTTCCTTGGTTGTGAGCTCTGTGCCTTGCTTTTTTTTGGCTTTTTTTTCTGCCTTTGAAACTTCTGAAACTCCTTTTCAGAAAAAACTTTTTTTTCTGCCTCTGAAAGCCTCCAAAACAGAGCTTCAGAAAAAAGCCTCTGATGCTCTGTTTGGGGGCTTTTTTTCTGAAGCTTCTTTTCTGATGCTTTTTTCAGCCTCTGAAACCTCCATTTGAGAAGCTGGGTGGGGCTACATTCAGAGTATAAGACGCACCCAGATTTTCATCCTCTTTTGGGGGGGAAAAAGGTGCGACTGATACTCCGAAAAATACGGTATGTTGTGCACTGACAATAAAGATTTGAAATTGAAACTTTAAATGGGAGCAAACACCACTAGCCATGTTGCCTAGTCTGCTCCAGAGAACATCAAGGATCCCATAACTCCATCCTGAAATATGTACTTCTTCTTGACTTCTCCAAGTAGATGATCAGGCTAATAGGGTCAATACTTTTTAAAACGCTGGATTAAAACAAAAAAAGTCATCAAAGAAGGCTGAAAAGGAAAAAGCCCCATGGTGGAAATTGTGAGAAATTGTTTCTCTGAGAAAACGAATGTCTGCCTTCTGTACCTGGCTGGTTAAAGCAGCACCAGGCCACCTTAGTGGCACGCAGATGGAAACGTAGTTGTGGGTAAACAGCTTTCTCTAAGATTATCCCGAAGATTATTTCCATGCCCGCAGCATAGATTAAGCCATTTCTAGAGAAACTGATGAAATTAATCTACTTAGCTGGATGATCTTTATAATAGGGACTTGGAAATCTTATGCAGATGCATTTTATGCTTTGATATATTTTTTTAAAATAGTCCATGCAATTATCCTTGCTTGAGTTTGCCTCTGAATGCCAGAACATTAAATTTAGAAAACTAGTTCAAATTCCTCACCTCTCACCCATAATAGCTTTTGTTAAAAAAAGAGAACATGTTGTATTTTTCTTCCCTAATTAGAATCTACACTCTACGTGTAATGGTACGTAGGGATGACCTTGGGAAGACAAAGTAAAGAGACACAGCCAAGGGAGCACTCAGATAAAAGGCAGATCAGCCCAGGGAAGGAATATGGGTAAGACCAACAGATCAGAAGGGACCCTCCCTAGTTTTTCAGGCTGTAAAGCAGGGGTCTCCAACCTTGGCAACTTTAAGACTTGTGGACTTCAACTCCCAGAATTCAGAGGGTCACAGTGACCTGACTTTAGCCTTCTTTTTTAACAACTGGTTTTCATTCCCCCATCCTCCTGCCCTTTTTACTAAAGCACTCTTTCTTTCTTTCTTTCGTTCTTTCTTTCTTTTAGGTTTATCACAGATTCTATCCTCCTGGAAACACTAGAAAAGTAAGTAAACAAATAAATAAATAATGCTTCTTAAAAAAAATAATCAGCCTCCCTTGCTTTCTCTCTTCAGTATTAGAGGTGAACAATTTTTAGACACGTGGTGAATGAAAGGGTACGCTAAGCTCAGACGAGCCCATCTGTGTGGTTGAGGTTTGGGAAATAAATAGCACTTCTTAAAATATTCCAACTCCCATTAGAAATTCTCTTGTTGGATATGCATTGGGGGGAAAGAATAGCCCAAATCTCCCCTCAATAACAGAGGACGGGAGAGAAACAGTGTCCTAATGGGAGGGATAATCGGAGAATTAGATAAATAAATTAAAATAAATAAAAGGACCTCTTGACTGAAGCCCTCCCTTTTATGTCCATGTGGGTTGTGTGGCAACCTGAAAAAGGGGTGAGGTTTCAAACAGTCCTGCCATTTTGGCAGTCTTCAAACCCCTCCTAACAGTAACAGAGTTGGAAGGGACCTTGCAGGTCATCTAGTCCAACCCCCTCCTCACGCAGGAGACCTGTACTAGGGATTCGAACCGCTGAACTGCCGACTTTTCTGATCGACAAGCTCAGTGCCTTAGCCACTGAGCCACCTGGTCTGATCTTCTGTCACCTAGTCACCTCCTGCATTCCCAGATGGCCCTGACCACAAGGCAACACGTTTGATTGAGTTGCTTCGGCTTGATTGCATTTCTCACGACATGACTTTCAACCTTTTGGAGCCTTTTGTCTTTGAAATAATATTTTAAATAATTCCAAAAGCTGCTGAAGTTTGGGGGTGGGGGCCTTCGGGGAGCGCATCTTGCATAATGTTGATGCTTTTGCTCTGCAAGAAACACGCAGAAGCACTTTCACCCCTTCCGTGCTCCCAAAGGAAAATAGGAAACAAACCAATGAGAGGTGAATTCAGCTGCTTATGCCCCCCCTCCCCCGAATATATGAAATCTATTTCTAAAGTTACTGGATAAACCTGCTCTGCTCTTGTCTTGGCAGACTGTCGGGTTTCCGTTTTTAAGCTGTCTGTGGAAATCCTGGAAAGATGGGGCTGTTTGTATGTGGGGTGGTGGTGGTTGTAGTCCCTGGTAGGAGAAGCGGTTTCTGCATAAGGATCTAAGGCAGGGGTCCCCAAACTTGGCAGCTTTAAGACTTCTGGACTTCAACTCCCAGAATTCTCCAGCCAGCTGGCTGGAGAATTCTGGGAGTTGAAGTCCAGAAGTCTTAAAGCTGCCAAGTTTGAAGACCTAAAGGAGAGGGGAGCCTCTTTTTGGGCTGGGGTCTCTCTCTGAGCGCTCCTGGCAGCCGGCCGCCTTTCAGCACCAGGGAAAGCCTTCGAGGAGGCTCACCCTGCAGCCAGCTTCATCCTGGCTCCTGGTTGGTTTGCGTTTTTTAAAAAAGCACAACTGCTGTTTTCATTTTGCTTCAGTCTTGTGGTTTTATTCTGAGCTTATATTTTATGTTGTTGATTTCCACACTAGACGTTTGCTGGCGAGGAGTTTTAAGAAATAGAATGAATGCGTTAAAATAATTTTACAGAGGACTAGTTGTTTCAAAAGATGATTAGCACTTTGCGTGCTCCCCGATACCAAGCAGCTTGGTTAATTAATAATAATAATAAAAAGATACATTGAGAGGCAAAGGAAATAATTTCCAATTTGCTGCATTTATGTATCTATCTGATATACCGAGCTCCCAAGACTTGTAATAATGGCTTGTAATAATAAATGCTGAGAACATAAATCAGCTACAGCAAAGCTGGAAAACCCAGAACAGGATAATAAAAATAATAAATTCCTCCTTGGGCAAAGCAGTGACAGGAGGCGCAAAAGCCACCGGAGAATCAAAGGGCCCTCTAACCTTGCTTGCTGTTCAACATGTTAATCCCAGATCCCACTTAAAGCATCTTGATGGCCCTGTGGTGGGTCAGGGAGGAGAAGTGATACGCAGCCCTTCATAGAGGAAAAGGGACTTTGGCTCTGCAGACCCCGGGACCTCTGGTTGGGAGAGGATGCAGGAGCCCACCAGAGCTGGTTTTTATGGCTTGTTTCCTTCCACCTGCCAGTTGTTCTTTTCCTACTGACAGTCAACAAACTTATTCTGCTCATTAGGAAAGAGGTTACCAAGATTCAGCCTGACACTCTTTGGTGTCTTTACAAATTGTATAACTAGGGCTAGCACGTCTTTCTTCGTCTATTGGGCTGTTAAGGGGAGAAATGCCACGTTCAATATCTTTTTTTAAAAAAAAATGATTTATATGCCGTCCTTCTCCGGAGATTCAGGGCGGCTTACAAGGCGTTAAGCAATAGCCTTCATACTTTTGTATATATTTTATACAAAGTCAGCTTATTGCCCCCACAAACTGGGTCCTCATTTTACCTACCTTTGAAAGGATGGAAGGCTGAGTCAACCTTGAGCCTGGTGAGATTCGAACTTGCAGTAATTGCAGGCAGCAGATGTTAATAACAGTGCTTTAGTCTGCTGTGCCACCAGGGCTCTTAATGTTGCAACTCTTTATTTTGATGGCTAATGCCAAAAACAAGCCGTTTGGAGGAGGGGGAGTAGGTTGTGGAGATGTTTCACTCTGGCTTGCAGTGCTGAGCAAGCAGCTCCCAACCGTGGTTTGCCATGCTCACAAGGAAAGGGAGGGTTGTCTTAATTTCAGCCAACGAACGCCAAGGTCCCCAAAGAGCTGCCTCAAATGGGCCTTCTCTGTGGGAGCCCCAGCCCTGTGGAATGAACTGCCCCCGGAAATACGTAAGATCTCCGACCTCTGGGTGTTTCACTGCGCACTGAAGACCCTGTTGTTCCGCCAGGCCGGGCTATCAACATAATAGTTTTAAATTGGGGTATGTAAATTTTTGGGGTTTTAAACCGGCCAAATCTATTTAATTATTTTAATTTTTAATCATTGTTGTGTCTTGTGTTTTTAAATTGTCTGTACACCGCCCTGAGTCCTTTGGGAGAAGGGTGGTATAGAAATAAAATTATTATTATTATTATTATTATTATTATTATTATTATTATTATTATTATTATTATTATTATTATTATTATTATTATTATTATTATTATTATCTGACTCCCTCTTGACTCCCTGCCAGTCCTAGTTCGGCTGCTCTCTGTGCTTCTAGCCCTCAAGAGGCCATTTTGGTGGAGAGAAGTTGGCCTGGTTCTCGTCTTCATGGGCCCAGTTCGATCTTGTGCAATCATCAGATCTGAAAAAAAATAGGGCTTTTAAAATTCGTTTCCTTAATTTGTTCTGGCTTTTTTTTTTTTTTTAAATCTTGGTTTGACTATATTTTTATTTACTGCAATTCTTGCCACACGCACTACCTTGCAGGTTCTAAAGCCGTATTCTTAATTTCTCTGGTAGCCGCTTCAGTCATTATAAAAACAGCTGGTCCAGAGTCTGGCAAGAGTAGTCGAGCCATGGTGGCCCTCCCATGGCTTCAGCCTTCTCCTCCGACAAAAATGATTAATTCTGCTCTGGAAATGTGGAGACAGCTGGGCTTTTCTCCAGATATCCATTATGTAATCATTTTCTTATAGCTCCACAGTGCTTTGCTGATTGCAGAGGGGTAGAGAAATGGATCTCTGCTTCCTGAAACAGTCAGTTGAGGACACCTCGAATTCCTAGGTGAGCTTAGTGCTGTTTACGAGATCCAGGGAGAGCTTTCAATCTTGGAGGAGAACCAGGCACATCAGCAAAGTCCAGAAGCTCCTGAGAATCAGCTAGTTTCTTTTTCTTTTTTTGAATAAAAGAACCAAACAGTTCCAAGATCCTTGTCCCATCTTCCCTGTTCTCTGAGCTTCCGCTGTGTCTTATTTCAACTCCACTGCAGAATGTTTGGGGAAGGCTCTTCTAATCATCAGGTTGAGCTTGTGGGAGTGGTGCTCATGTATATTATCAATAAGATGAAACCAGACTTAAAGAGGTGAGAGACCTTCCCAGAAACACAGCTAAGATCAGCTTTTTTTCAGGCTGAGGACCTCGGTTGGTCTACAAGGCTGATATGTCTGAATGTTGAGAAGAAAACCCTCAGTTAGTTTTCATCTTTAAATGTTTTCCTGGGACAACAAGTTCCTTTCTGACTTATTTTTCCAGACTCCTGTTAGGCTGTTTTAGAGAGAAAATATTTCAATAAAGGTTTTGTAACACCTTCCTATGAACCAGGGGTGAAATCCAGCAGGTTCTGACAGGTTCTGGCGAACTGGTAGCAGAAATTTTGAGTAGTTCGGAGAACCGGCTGGCTCCAGAGTGGGGTGGGAATGGGGATTTTGCAATATCCTTCCCCCTGGGGGAGGGGGAGGGAATGGTGATTCCCCTGCCACACCCACCATGCCATGCCACGCCTACCACACCATGCCCACAGAACCGGTAGTAAAAAAAAATTGAATTTCACCACTGCTGTGAACCTGATTTCTAGACCAGGTTGTCCTGAGGCTAGGAAGAGGCTGGGACCTGAGTTTCTGTTTGTTGACTTGGAATTTTTAACAGCTTCTGCTACAGCAGAGGAATGCCTGGGTGCCAGAAAGGCTTCAGGTGAGTTGGGTTGTGGTGGAGTAATGTTTGAAATGTTTCTCCTATGCCACCATAAGAAGGAAAGAAGGCCATCCTTTGGCATCAAGGCCAGAGAGGTAGGTGGGCCAATGGTTTTTGCTGAGGGCTTCCTAATGCACAATTCACAAGAAAAACAAGGCCAAAGGAGTGAGGTTTTTAAAATTCTACTTTTATAAGATAATCTTCTAGCAAACAGTGGAAGCTACAGCTGAAGGCATGTCTTGCAGTCTGTCAGTCTCAGTATAAAGTCCGTAACATGGAACTTGAAGAAAGATGTAAGAGCAATGGTGGCACTTCAGCACAGGCCATGAATAACAAAACAACGACCAAAAAGCGTTTCTCTGACTTTTGAGATCTCCATAATGTACATGCCGTAGTTGTGTGGCATAGTTTTTGCTTTTGGCAACTTGCCTATGAAGTTCAACAGGCAAACTCCTTTTTGTGCTAGGCAATAACAACAGGACCTGCCCTTGTGTCTCAGCACAATTTGCATTTAGTTTATTTGCCTAATTAAGAGGCACCTTATGACCCAGAGCTTATGCGACTTTCCCCTAGCAAACTATGAGGAAACAGCAGCCCAAGTTTCATTTTTCTTATCTCCTCTACACAGTTCTCTGCTCCTGAGCATCTGCTTCAGGGATTCTCCCTCACCTCTTCCCCAAATAGTTCCTGTCAACTGGATGCAGGCAGGGAAGTGCAGGTCAAGTTTAACTGCCTAGATTTTGTGAAAAACCTTCCCTTTACGGACTGACTTTACCCAAAGTCTTAAAATAAAGTCACCCAATGGCTATGATTTTTATTAAAAACTTTTTAAAAAGAGTAATAACAAGAGAAATAGGTAAGAAAGTTGAATAGGAAGTAAGTGAAAAAAGGTACAAAGAAAAAATGGAAAAGAAAGAGAAAAGTTATGATGGCGCTCAAAAAGTAACGTATGACAGGGTCCTTCCACCCACGACCGTTGCACCATCCCTGCGGTCACTTGATTTAGTGGTTCAGATGCTTGACGGCTGGCAGGTGTGACAGCTGCCCAGGGTCACGTGATCACCCTTTGCGTCCTTCCCAGCTGGTTTCCAACAAGCAGTCATTGGGGAAAACTGGATTCACTGAACTGTTGCTTGACCGCCATGGCAAAAAAAAAAAAAAAGTAGTAAAGTTAGGCATAACTCACTTAACAACTACAGCACTTAGCAATGGAAGTTCAAGTCACAATTGGGGTCATAAATCAAGGACTAGCTGTATTCTGAAATATCTATCTTTTGCACTGGGACTATTGCTCTCTTTGCGGCTAACATGAAAACCTGGGTGTTTTAAGCTTCAAAAGTTTCAGTGTAGTTTCCTCAAGTCTGGCGATTCTCAAAGTGTGATCTGGGATCCCGAGGGGTTCCCAAGACCCATTAAGGGGATGCACCGAGTCAAAGGAATAAACATTTAAAAATGTCTCAGTTTTAAATTTTAATATAGCAAAATGTTGATAGATATAAGCCACCCAAAGCTCCTCTCTCATTTCTCTGTCATTTTTAACAATGCAAGGGGGGATCAAGCAAAAATGAGGGTGTGGCCAACTAATATGTTTGCAGGAACAGTTATTGACGCTTTGCTAGAAAACCCTCAAATTACACTGAGGTGAAGGCAGACCAACATTTCTGCACCCAGGCAATTTGCTTACTTGAAGGATTCAGTTATGGTTACCATAAGCACAAAGTAAACAATTCCACAAAACATATAATGTTTTGTTTTACAGACAAATTTATGTTTTCTGCAAAATCTGTATGCTGAAGGAGGACGTAGTGTACTTTCTTGTGGCAAAAGTGATTTTCTTAAATGTTTTCTAGGTTTGATAACGAGGCAAACAAATTTGGGGATGGGAAAGTTCAAGAAAGAGAAATCTAGAATTTAACAAGAGTGGAGGTATTGTCCACTCCAATCCCATGTCGGGATTGTCACAATCCTCCCATTGAGCAGTACAGAACTGTGGTGGAATGAAGTCTGGATTCCCAAAACGAGGAGCCGCATTCTAGAGGACACAGAGACTGTGAAGTTTAGATCGTTTGGTTGGGAGGAAAAGAGTTAAGACAGCTCCTCCCTGCAAATTCTCAGACTGTGTTGGCTTGGCAAGATTTCTGTATTTTTAGGCAAGGAACAATAAGGGAAACTGCTAAAAAGTTACCCTGCATGTCTTCCTTGGTTTGGGGGAATGGCAAGAATTGAAGAATGGTGTGATCTCTACAACAACATACAATGTGGTGTGAAACTTCACAGTTATTTTCTTTTAGTGAGGGAAACCTGCGAGATGTGTAGTCCAGGCCATTTTTTAAAAGCCAGCAGACTCATTTTGGCAAATGGCCCTGAATCAGTAGGTCAAATAACTTTTATACCTTTTAAAGTTGAATTTGAATTATTACTCTGAGTCAGGCTGGCTGGCTCGGATGCCGAGTTCTTCCTACCCCAAGAACGATGACCACAAACACAAAAGAAAGGGAAGAATTAAGTCCTACAGCAACGCAAAATTCTCAGTTTATTCTGAGATTTGACTCAGATGTGCGCTAAAACCAAGTAGACTGTTTTAAAATGTCTCATAATGGGCAGTCTTTCTAAAATTTTGATTTAAGGGAACATGTCTTTGATAGGCATTGTGCACAGACTAATCTTTAGGGGGGGGAAATGTTTTTCTTTTGTGGCTAGGGATCCAAAGACGAAGATGTTGTCAATCTCCAAGGGAGGGTTGGGCGGTTCACCGACTCTCTTCCAGACTTGCCAATCAGAAACAGGGACAAGCAGGGGCTGGAAGGAGGGAGGTTTCTGTAGGAGACCATGGAGCTAATTATCTCCTGCAAAAATGCAGAAGCATGCTCGCAGCCTGGCATCGTCATTTTTTATTCATTAATTGAAAGTGCCACTTGGCTTTTTCAAAAAAATAATAATCACAAAATGTTTTTAATATTATGAAAGCAGAAGATGAAGCCAAGAAGGATTTCATATTTTTTTATTATTATTACTACTATTTTTACTTGCTTTACTTTACTATTCCTTGCTTTTAAAGACTAAACTGTTCAAAGACATTTGTAATCAGGTGCCTTCTAAATTATATAAATTAACAATAAAAAAAATGATGTAAACAGCATTCTAAAATTGGATGGCCCAGCTCTGGAAAAGCCAAACAGACTCAATCAAATCCCTCCCTCCCTCCCTCTCTCCTTCCTTCTCTCTCTCCCCCTCCCTCCCTCTCTCCCCCCTCCCACTCTCTCTCCCCCCTCCCTCCCTCCTTCTCTCTTCCTCCCTCCCCCCCTCTCTCTCTCTCCCCCCTCCCTCCCATCTCTCCCCCTCTGTAAAATTGTATATATAAATGACCAAAAACTCAGAAGGAGAACAGGTTAGCATAGGGTTAGTCAGGATAGTTTCTTTGCCTTTGCTTATTTATTTGGGGATTTTATACAAACCACACGGAGATCTACCAGTACTTTCTGTGATGGAAGACATTGGTTAACAGCCATAGCCTCCCTCATGGATAGTTATGCAGCCTCATAACTATGGTCTTGTGGGTTTTCCTGAACTTTGCAGAAGGTTGAACAAAATGATCCTTCCAGAATAAGTATAAAGGGATCTTGGCCAGGGTTTCCTTGACCAATCAACGCTTTAATTGAATAATGGAACAATTAAAATGAGTGTTACATGCAGGTAATAATGGAATTCTGAGTCAAAATGCATCTAGCTGTTCTTGCAACTTTGAGTGTTAAGATTTTAGTATTTCTTTATAATTAGTAGACTCAGTTTCACAGAACAATATATCTGGGTTTGGATTAATGAAGAAAACCAATTTTACTGGGCCACCTTTTCCCTCTGGGAAAGCTCCTCACAGCCATCGGGAGGGAGGCCTCGGCTCTACCAGGCTAAGCAAATTGTGGAGAGCAGCAGATGCAGTGGGGACACGTGGCAGCTGGGCCCACTCAGGCTACCAGCAAGGGAGTTTCTGCCAGGATATGGGGGCCTTCCAAGGAATTCAGATCAACCCCTGGTGGGGCTTCAACCACCCTGGGAAGAAGCTGTTCATTGCTCCCTCCTCTTGCCCCAGTGAGGAAGGTGCCCCCTTGTTGCTGGTGGAGGTGGCCCAAGGCGCATTTCTTTCCCTCAAAGCCCCCTTCTCCCTTCCAGGGATAACATACCTCTCCCTTCTCCAGTTTATAAATAGAACTGTCCTGGTGGACTTCAGTTAGCTTCCC